ACTGCAAACAATACTGAATCTTTCCAAGATAATTGTTATCCAATCGATCATAGTGTGCAACTAATTAGTGGAGGATAACCGTCTACTGATAATTTATATTGGAACAATTCAGATGGCGATGTAGTAGGTAATATAACGAGTTCATTTCACCATAAATGTACCATATAAAATGCTGCGAATACATTACTCTGCATCTCTGTTAATGTTGTGTTCCATCTCTGTTAATGTTGTGTTCCATCTCTGTTAATATTGTGTTCCATCTCTGTTAATGTTGTGTTCCATCTCTGTTAATGTTGTGTTCCATCTCTGTTAATGTTGTGTTCCATCTATGTTAATGTTGTGTTCAATTTCTGTTAATGTTGTGTTCCATCTCTGTTAATGTTGTGTTCCATTTCTGTTAATGTTGTGTTCAATTTCTGTTAATGTTGTGTTCCATCTCTGTTAATGTTGTGTTCCATCTCTGTTAATGTTGTGTTCCATCTCTGTTAATGTTGTGTTCCATCTCTGTTAATGTTGTGTTCCATCTATGTTAATGTTGTGTTCAATTTCTGTTAATGTTGTGTTCCATCTCTGTTAATGTTGTGTTCCGTCTCTGTTAATGTTGTGTTCCATCTCTGTAGATGTTGTGTTCCATCTCTGTTAATGTTGTGTTCCATCTCTGTTAATGTTGTGTTCCATCTCTGTTAATGTTGTGTTCCATCTATGTTAATGTTGTGTTCCATCTCTGTTAATGTTGTGTTCCATCTCTGTTAATGTTGTGTTCCATCTCTGTTAATGTTGTGTTTCATCTCTGTTAATGTTGTGCTCCATCTCTGTTAATGTTGTGTTCCATCTCTGTTAATGTTGTGTTCCATCTCTGTTAATGTTGTGTTCCATCTCTGTTAATCATCTCTGTAAATGTTGTGTTCCATTTCTGTTAATGTTGTGTTCCATCTATGTTAATGTTGTGTTCTATCTCTGTTAATGTTGTGTTCCATAAGCTTATTTAGGAGAGCCGTGTGGATGGTGCAAGAAATTGCGTTTACAGGTGACCGCCGATAAGACCAAAGCACTCCATTTCAGGAACAAATCTTCAATAGTGTCTTATTTCCGCTTTATGTGTGGTGATTTACAAAAAGGCAGAGCTAGTAAGTATCTTGGATTGTAGTTTACTGACTTTTATACATTTGCGACTATATGTCTCATGCTGTTTTCAAGAACTTGTATGAGTCCCCTGCGGAATTAGTTCTGTATTATGGAGCAGGGATCTGGGGAACCAACAAATACAGCTTCATGCAGCATGTCCAAAGCAAAGCGTGCCGCTACTTTCTTGGTACTGGAAAAAGCGCTTCCAATGTCACCACAAGAGGTGATCTTGGTTGGAGTTCCTGCATCGTGAAACAAAAAGTGGTGGTATGTAGGTTATGGTTAAGATCTGAACACAACCGAATAGTTTACAAAATATATCAGTAGTCAAAAGGAAAGCGGAGAAGCTGGGAATGTCGGGTACTAAACTTGCTTAACAAACATTCATTGTCCGTTTACTTTGATCATAACCCAAACGTTAAACTGTGCATTGATAAAGTTAGACAACCAATGGAAATAATTTGAGAATTTATCGCACATACAAGAATGAGCTCAGCTCTGAACCCTATGTTAATAATATTATGTATTTTAGTCACAGACACGTATTGACAAAGTTCTGTGGTAGTAGTCGTATGCTTAAATTGGAAACAGGTCGGTACTCTCCTCCTGTAATTCCTGATACAAGATCGTTCTTTGTCTTCATCTTATAGTGATGGAGACGAAATGCATCTTTTTTACTTAACTGTAAATTCTTCTCGGACATAAGAAGTAATATATTTAACTCAGCTATTACCCTTAACCTGTCCTTTCTGATCTGGAGGATGTAATGACAAGTGCTTGTATATAGAATACTTTAGCTGCTACACTGCATCACATGTACTGTAGGCGTCTATGTTTTAACTTCACATCAACTTTATCATGAGCATCGCTGAAGATTTTATTTTGTACCACAGACATCAAATATTTCTTCATCTACAGTGTTTTTTTGAAGATTTTATTTATCTTAAGTAGTATATTACAATTGTATATTGTCTCAAGTCAATTTTGGCTGGATAACGGTACCTGTGTGTCCTTAACTGATGATTTATTTATTTCTTATAATATCATTATGTGACAGATAAAATAAATTGTATTGTCTTGTGTTGTATTGTATTATGGTGTGTTGTGTTGTGTGTGTTGTGTTGTATTGTGTTGTGTTGTATAGTGTTGTATTGTATAGTGTTGTATTGTATTGTGTTGTATTGTGTTGTGTTGTGTGTGTTGTGTTGTATTGTGTTGTATCGTATTGTGTTGTGTTGTTTTGTCTTGTATAGTGTTGTGTTGTGTGTGTTGTGTTGTGTTGCGTTGTATTGTGTTGTGTTGTGTGTGTTGTGTTGTTTTGTCTTGTATAGTGTTGTATAGCGTTGTGTGTGTTGTGTTGTGTTGTTTTGTCTTGTGTTGTGTGTGTTGTGTTGTGTTGCGTTGTATTGTGTTGTGTTGTGTGTGTTGTGTTGTTTTGTCTTGTATAGTGTTGTATTATGTTGTGTTGTATTGTGTGTGTTGTGTTGTGTTGTGTGTGTTGTATTGTGTTGTGTTGTGTGTTATGTTGTGTTGTGTGTGTTGTGTTGTATTGTGTTGTGTTGTATAGTGTTGTATTGTGTTGTGTTGTGTTGTGTGTGTTGTGTTGTGTTGTTTTGTATAATGATGTATTTTGTTGTGTTATGTGTGTTGTGTTGTGTGTATTGTGTTGTGTTGTGTTATGTGTGTTGTGTTGTGTTGTTTTGTCTTGTATAGTGTTGTGTTGTGTTGTGTGTGTTGTGTTTTGTTGTTTTGTCTTGTATAGTGTTGTGTTGTGTTGTGTTGTGTTGTGAAACACATTAAGTTGATGGACAGTGCTGATGTTTTATTGTCTGATGGTCAGCTCATGACTCTATCCTCGATGGAGGAACATGAACATTGTGTTTTGCTACAAGATAAGTGGGTGCCTCATTGATAGTAGTGGTGATTCACATTGGCTGCTCTATCGAGAAATGTTACAAATGAACTGATCTACCAATCTCTTTGATAGAAAATTTACACGACTGCCTATTTTAATGTGATCTTCAGGAAAACATTCCACATCATTTCGGGAGTATTTTTGTTGTTATTGTTCACTGGTGTGTAAACAGCATTGTCTTATAGATATTTTATATGATGCGCGTTTCTGCGTTATGTTGAAATACCTGTGAAATAAAAGACAGATAACTTCACTTTTATCTTATTTCTAGCATTTTTAGCACAAAGACCTCATTACGTTATGATACACGGTGTTAACAGAAGTCGGTAAAATAAATTGTTTCTGCACGAGTTATTTCCCTTCGTACAAATATTTTAGTTAACCATACAGCACTAAAACTTTCAGTAATCGATTCTAGTCAATTGTCCTATCAAACTACTTATAGTGGTGTCTGTGTCCAGCATCACAAATAAATAGAAATAAATGATACGTTAAACGATGTATATTTCAAATCATTGTTTCCTGTATTCTACTGTGATATAAATATGAAGACGGATCAAACTGGGTGAGGGTAACGTTGCGGTTGGTTAGATGGCGTAGTGGTAACGCGCACGTCTTTCACCTGTACGTACGGCACTCGATTTTCCGTACAAACGCAAAGAGGTATGGTGTTACCTTTATAATATTACAATGGTGTCATGTTTTAAATATGAACTAAATAGTATTATCTCGGTGTCATTTCTTTTAATATCAATTTCATCATATTATCTTGGTGTCATTATCTAAAATATAATTTCGTGATGTTATATTAGTGTCGTTTTGATTTTATATGAAAGATAAATTGGTGGCATTTCGCATGATTTGGTGGCATTTCATTTTCATATAAACTATGTCTTTTAGATAAATTGGTGGATTGACGGATGAATGGGATGGATGTGTTATCAACAGACAGAAATACGAGTGATATTTTCCCTGGGTATTTAAATAAAACATTGACAAGTTCATTTATGATGTTTATTTCTGAAAATAAAGCTTCAAAAAGGAGAAAAATAACAACTGCTTGCAGGGCAAATATATCGATAGGAAATCGTGTAGAGAAATGGAAAAACACAAAGTCCAAGGTTCCACACAGCTATCCTAATGTCAGTATTCACGTGACGTCACAACCATCGTCTCGCGAGCGTTGCCGTTTATTCCTGTATCGAAGTTTAAAACAACATGGTTTATCAGACTGTACAAATCGAGGTAAACGACTGCACATCTTAAGATGTATTTCATCAAACTAAAATCATCCACATATTTCAACAAGAAACAAAACCAATCATGGAATATTATATCTTGATAAGCTGTACTAAATCCTAGAATTAGTACATCAATATACCCTTTAGGATAAAATGGAAATCGACGTAGGATTAAATGAACTTATTATTGTAAAGTCATTAGTTGTGTACACTAATGTTCCAGTAGCCTCATCAGATGTTAAGTGCTACGTAATTCGCACATCTCCAACCATTGCTTTGAATATCCTCAGAACTCTCAAAAATAATTCTTAGAAATACTTACATAGTACTTATCAACAGATTGCATATAATGCCGAGTGATCTTATAAAACCCAACAACCTGTTAAAATGGATACCAATATAATGTAACACGATGTAATTGAACAAATGAAAATTCCGAGACATTACCACTCGTCGAAAATGTGAAGAAAGCATGCTGATTTCATATTTTCAATACAAACAGAGGAAAAGAAAATTTTCAAATCCCTTCTTGATCATAATGTTTATATCGACAAAGCAATATTTTCTCGCTTTGACTATTTCATGATGCCAATAAAATATCAATGGCATGCCACCTAAATCCATTGACGTAATTTAGTGACGTCACGCTTTCCTCTAACTTAAACTGTGATCGTAGATGGCAAACGGGTTTCCCGTTTATTCCTAGGATTTTGACAATCTCAACTTTCCACCATAACTGATCGTGCGGAGTCGGACGCGTGTGAGGACGGTGGATATATGTCACGTGACTCGGCCTGACCTTTTCTCGACTTGTTTGCCAGTTTCTTGTTTACGTCAATGAGAGCACGGTTCATCGCTTCTTCAGCCTGCTTGTCACCTACAAGTAGAAAACGAAGGATATTTGTCCGACTTACAAAAGTGCATGACCACTTTTAATTCAAACCAAAGCGTGTCGAAGTTACAGCTATTTACTTGCTATGAGATCACACTTAGTGTTTCACAATAATTGAAAGTACAATCAAACTTACCCAGTGACTGCGCATGTGTCAGTCCGGCTTCAAAGGAGTTGTAGGCATCTTGGAATTTTTTCATGTTTACTGAAACAAAACAATTAATGAAATACTTATTTCAAAGACTGGTGACGTTACGCTAACGTTATAGTTTTGTTGACATAAAAGTCTTCACTGGTTGCAATATTGTTCACGGAGCTCATGTAATCAAATGATGTCACACACACACACATCTTTCATTGTGATGTAATACCAATGACCAGAGACATGAAGTCGACATGACTTCAAATGTCCGTTATTTTACAATATCTGCATGAATTGGTTAATCAGTTGATACATAGAATTCTGAATTTGAATGTAATTATGAAATTCTTCATACTATATATATATATAATTATAGAACTATAGAAATAGTACATTGTACAAGAAGTTTGTGTTTGCAGTAGTTACAATAACTAGTATTTAGGGATATGAATAGTAAGGGATATCATAAGTCAGATACCGATTGTGGTTCTTCAGATGAACATAGAGATTTCAATTTTCATGAAATAAACAACCCTTTTCACCAAATATTCCCAAAATAGCATTTACAGCTACAAATGTACACCAATCAGATATACTGAGGAAATTGGCGCTCTTACGACTGTACAGCACAAATTCTAGTCCGCCGGTACAGACACAACTATACTTCATGAAAGTGTCTTACTCACCTTCAGAGAGGCCGATCAACACGCATGCCTGAAGCTGGAGACGCTTGTCATCTGCTTCCTGTCCAGTCTCCAGTGACTTCCGGCCAGCGTCCCGTGCATAGGAGAAGTTGTTTAGCATGAGGAAGCAGTTTCCTATGTCATGGAATAAAGCGGACGATTCCGCAGACGTCTTGCATAGTGGTGCCTTCATAGTATACCTACAATGTAAACAGCATGATGAAATGTATCTTCCATCCAGGATATTACAAATGGTTTACATAGATGTATAATATATATATATACAGTATTAGTAATACAGTGCGCATGCCTGACTATACCGAGAGAAGAATGTATCATAGATGTAATCTACTTTGTTAAACTTGCAATTACTCAGGGGAACATACGTAATTCATTTTCTTAATACAGATACAAAACGTCCTTAAATAACATGATTTTTTTTAACGAAATGCGTTTTCCCCTTTTTACTTTTCAGAACCTCGTTTTAACTGGCCGCTGTGTTAGGATTTCTAAATACCTACACGTCGCGCATGCGCAAATACATTGCTTACACTCTCTGAACGATAATGATGTGAATCAGTGTTGGGTCGCTCCTATTCTGTTTTATTATTATAGTTTTTTTTACGTTTCCAATCAAATAGGTATGCAAAATATTATAAATATCAGAAAGTGCACAACTTTTAAGAGATATATGCATCATGTGATGTTATTATCAGTTATGAAATTAATATCTAATAATCTAGTCCCTTTAAGTAACCTATATAAAACGGTAATGACAGTAGATAGTTTCTGTAAAACGTTTGAGATTTGTATAGACATGATAAGTATCATTATTTACTTACATCTCTAGCGCCCTGTTGTATTTCCCCTGTAATGTATAGGTTCGGCCAAGGTTTCCCAACGCCCTATAACGGGCTACCTTAAGGTCACTGGGAAGAACAAAAGACATTTTATTATGTGAAAGGCTGACGTTCTCAAAACAACGATTGTAACACAATATGAATTGTAAGATACATGATACAATTAGAATTCTTTGAAATTATCATCAGATTAATATCATTTATATTAATTATATGTAGAATAATAAAATTCTTGTATAACCAAATGTGGTTTGCAATAATACTATACTTTGTGAATTAAATGTAGACTAATAGTATTCTGGCATAAGTTTATTACCTCTAACAAGTTATCAAGTACTATCTGTGTTAATGTATTCGTTGCAGTGGAACCATGTCATTTAAATAACTCACAAAATGTGGTTAACACTAACATACATCGTGATAACACAAATAGAGTAAACATTCTACAAGAACATATGAGTGATGAGATTATTTTCTATTGGAAAAATACATATTGAACCTAATCTGGAGACAATGACACTTTGAAATTTTTTTATTAGTTTTTTTTTTTTTGGGGGGGGGTGTGTTTGTTTTGTTTTTCTCTTCTTTCAGGTTTTTTTGTGTTTGTTCTGAAATGTAAATGGCAAATCTATTAGTTCTATGCATATATCTGCTCTATTTCAGATAAGAAATAGTTGGTGATCCTTAAATGTGTGATATATCAGAAATCCCTTGTAATCGTAATCTAGAGATGAAAGAGATACAAATTCCATAACGATCATTACCATTTCTCGCCAATTTTTAGATCAACAGTGTGGTGTTTTAGCGCTCGTGTGAAATCGGCTGCATTTACAGCAACGTTACCAAGGAAACTGTTGAGCAAACCAGTCATTTCAAACTTTTCTGGAACATTAGCGTCAGAGTATTTTGCCAATAGTTCAAGCCCGGCCTCACACTTTTTGACGGTCTCCGCAAATTTTCTTTGTGCAAACACTGGCGGTAAAAAACAAACAAATGAATTAATGCGTTTTTTTCTCTCTTTCTTTCTTTTCTTTCTCTTTCTTTTTTTTATCTACAGTTTCGTCACCGTCAGCTTGTACTAGAAGAAACTACGCAAACAATGGAAAAAGATTTTCTGCTATTTACAGTTTTACAGTTTTGTTAAACGGATTTTCCATTTACGGATATGGACGTCTAGATTGGGTAACCCGTCTTTATCAAAATCCTAAAACTATAATCCAATAGACGGCTAATTTCCGATAACATGTAAAGTCAAACATGTACACTTCTCTGTATCACTTTGTCAATACTTACTTGTATAAATAATATCCAGTTCTCTTTTTAAATAATCCGTCACAGCTTGACCTTTAGATTTCGTCTCCTCCTCAGTTTCCTTTGAATCGGTCGAATCTTCATTCTCTTCGGCAATTTCCGTCATTCTTCTTGTACCTAGATCCAAACTAGGGTTATGTGTTTCAAACTTGAACTCCAGTGTTGTCGGATCTGGCTTAAGTTTCGTTCCCTTATCGGGCTTTGTGATTCCTAATCTGGACTTAATTGTCTTAGTTTTCCAGCTCATTCCGGAATCCCCGGATTTCCATGTTGTTTTCGACTCAGCTGTCCGAGCTGTTCCGAGTGTATCTACCGACAATGAACTGCCACTAAATCTACTCGCCCGTGATTTCTGAAGAGGAGGGGGAGGCGGAAGTGGTCCAAGTCGATTCCAGTAGTGGTAGCGATCGTACAGGAAGTTGACAGCATCTTCAGCTTTGTCCTGTATCGGACTTCCCATACCTCCTACGGCTAAACAAACCAATAAAGAAATTACCCATATACCGACAGAATCTGAATCCAAACTCAAGTGGCTTTATTAACGTAAGAATTCTTATGAAATAGATATTTGAATACGAAACCTTAAAGAAGATTGTGTTGTCATGTCTTTAGTTTACAACTACCCAATCAGAAACAAATTTAAACATTAGCAATCCCGGGTGAGTATATTTTGTTCTGATATACTTCTGTACTTCACAAAAAGATCTTAACTGCATCTAGCAATACCTTATTTTTCTATATGCATTTTTTCTTGGCAAAATTGTACATTGTGCCTCCATTGTTTATATGATATAAGGACAACATTCAATATTGCATAATAAGTCCTCTTCATGCTTAACACGATGAAATACAATATCATCAAGACCTTGATAGACGAAACAAAAAGGATGTTTAAGTATTGATCAAGAGACTTGCTTGCAACTGATGTTTATCTTAACTATTGTCTCACATTAATATTTAAACAGAATAAACATGGGCTGAATTACACGGATATATGTAATATAACTATTGAAGAAAACATGCCTGAAACAGAATGACATTATGTGAATGTTACAACAATTACGGGACGATAGTGTTGCAGAAATACTTGGATGTTGATATATTCGGTGATGAAGGGGCACGGACTGTTTATAAATATACATACCTGGAAACACTGTATTATTAGAAAGTTTTTCCAAATATTTCTTATCCTTATACAGCTCTTTCAGTGTCGTTTTCACCATCTTGCTCTCGGGTCGCTTTTCTTCTTCATTAAGGGTGGCAACCGAAGTAGATGGCGTTTGGGAAAGGTTTGGAAGTGACGTCACACGTGGAAGGACGACCGTTGGTGTTTTATGGATCCTAATTAGCTGGCAGAGTGGACGATCACGAAAGGATGCGCTTGGCTTTGGCAAATGTCTTGTTTGACTTTTTGTTTTGTTGTCAAATACAAACGGTTTGCTTGTCGGCTGAAACAGTTAAAACGAAACTAGACTACGATTTCCTACTACGTCATATCATTATTATAATTGTTGTTTACAAATGTACCAAATGATCCACTTCTATGAAAGGACTTCTTACAAACACCCGGTGTTTCCGTTATTTTCTGTACATGAACGTCCAATTTGATTATAGATTTTCAATTGATTCAGAAGAACCTGAGTGATAAAAGAGAGTATTTTTTTCTTTTGTTCTCCACCTCTAAAGAAATGAAATGTGATATCATTATTGAGATTGAACAGTTCTTATATCTACCGCTTTGTGGACAAGGTATGTCAAATCTCCAGCCTGGGTAAGCTTCATTCTTTTAGCTGCAATCAGAGAAAAGTGTTATAAGTCCTTCAATCTAATATAATTCATGTTTGTATTTACATACATACATTGACCTACATATTACCTACATGTACTTGACCTACATATCACCTACATGTACTTCACCCACATATTACCTACATGTTACCTACATGTACTTCACTTACATGTTACCTACATGTACTTCACCCTACACGTTACCTACATGTACTTCACCTACATGTTACCTACATGTACTTCACCTACATGTTACCTACATGTACTTCACCTACATATTACCTACATGTATTTCACCTACATGTTACCTACATGTACTTCACCTACATGTTCCCTACATGTACTTCACCTACATGTTACCTACATGTACTTCACCCTACATGTCACCTACATGTACTTCACCTACATGTTACCTACATGTTACCTACATGTACTTCACCCTACATGTTACCAACATGTTACCTACATGTACTTCACCTACATATTACCTACATGTACTTGACCTACACATTACCTACATGTATTTGACCTACATGTTACCTACATGTACTTGACCTACATGTTACCTACATGTACTTTAACTACATATTACCTACATGTACTTGACCTACATATTACCTACATGTACTTGACTTACATATCTCCTACATGTACTTGACCTACATGTTACCTACATGTTACCTACATATATTTGATCAACACATATAAGTACCAGCCAAAAAAACATTGTTGTGCAATTGAACGGTTGTGCTGAAAATCAGTTCATTTCGTAGAAATTTTAACTTGAAAGACATAAAATGTAACCTATTTGTTATATTTATTCGTTCTTTATGAAAGCTTCATAGTAAACATTATACACAGAATGTTCAGTGAACACAAACAGTGATTACATTTTTTGCGATTGCCCTTTGTAATGAAGTGATCAGCCTTCTTTGCGCCCTCCTGGAATGCCGCACTTTTTGGGTAATGTTTGAGTCCCCTGTTATAGTACACGAGTGCCATCTCGTAATTCTGTGTCTTAAATAACACTTCCGCTTTCTGTAGCAGTGCCTGAAATAATAAAAAAAATAGCTCTTTTTGTAACAATGTCTAAAAAGAACAATAAAAAAACAAGACGATACCAACTTGTCAACATGATCATAATCCATACTCAAATTCCATAAAACTAGGTAGAAGGGAAATAAGACCGGGTGTTCCGGAAGATTAAGCGTTTTCTGCTTCATCGACGACATCCGCCATGTAAACATTGGTCAATTCAAGTAAATAATGTCACGTTCTTAAATGAAAACAAGGTATACAACAACGGAACCAACAGGCAAACTAACGACCATCAAACACGTCCACCTTCATATCATACAACGGAACCAACAGGCAAACTAACGAGCATCAAACACGCCCACCTTCATATCGTACAACGGAACCAACATGTAAACTAACGAGTGTCAAACACGTCCACCTTCATATCGTACAACGGAACCAACAGGCAAACTAACGAGCATCAAACACGTCCACCTTCATATCGTACAACGGAACCAACAGGCAAACTAACGAGCATCAAATACGTCCACATTCATATCGTTCAACGGAACCAACAGTCAAACTAACGAGCATCAAACACGTCCACCTTCATATCGTACAACGGAACCAACAGGCAAACTAACGAGTATCGAACACGTCCAGCTTCATATCGTACAACGGAACCATCAGGCAAACTAACGAGTATCAAACTCGTCCAGCTTCATATCGTACCAAGAATTGCTATATTTTTCAATGGAATCACAACATGTTCACGTTTTTAGACATAACATGATATACATACATGTATAAACAACATTTTATCTGTATGTAACTACATTGTATATCTCGTCAGAAAATTGTCGGTGTCATTGATATATGTGCTGGACAATGTGTGACAAAACTGCCAATGTCTACACCAATGTTATTATCGATTGCATAACGTTCTGTTTTAACACACTTCATATCAATGTCATCTAATTACATGTGTTTACTATGTATTCGTAATACAAAATCAATTTCGGCGGCCAACTCCTGGTTTTTCTTCTGTCAAGGCTTAATAAAGAATTGTAAAGTCATTTCCTACAATATGAAAGATCAGGGAACTCGCCAAGGTAACAATGTAGAACATGTTCTATGTACACATGATCGATTTTAAAATTACAGCATTCTATCAGTAAGGAGAACGCATCACACAAATCACACACGGGGCTATCACGTCACACAACTCACACACGGGGTATCACGTTCCACAAATCACACACGGGGTATCATTTCACACAAATCACACACGGGGGTATTACGACATACAAATCACACACGGGGGTACCATGTCACACAAATCACACACGGGGTATCACGTCACAAAAATCACACACCGGTGTATCCCGACATTTAAATCTTACACGGGGTATCACGTTACACAAATCACACCTGGGGGTATCACGTCATACAAATCACACACGAGGGTACCACGTCACACAAATCACACACGGGGTATCACGTCACACAAATCACACACGGGTGTATCACGACATATAAATCTTACACGGGGTATCACGTCAAACAAATCACACATGGGGGTATCACGTCATGTTAACGTCACACAAATCACATACGGGGTATCACGTCATACAAATCACACACGGGGTATCACGTCACACAAATCACACACGGGGGTATCACGTCATACAAATCACACTCGGGGTATCACGGCATGTTAACGTCACACAAATCACATACGGGGTATCACGTCATACAAATCACACACATCGCCATATCACACACGGGGTATCATGTCACACAAATCACACAACATTTTATACAAATCACACACGGGGGTATCATGTCACACATTGTCATACAAATCACACACGTCATACAAATCACACACGATGGTCATCACACAAATCACATATATCACGTCACACAAATCACACACGGGTGTATCACGACATATAAATGCCGGGGTATCACGTCACACAAATCACACATGGGGGTATCACGTCATACAAATCACATACTATCGCCATACAAATCACACACGGGATATCACGTCACACAAATCACACACACACACGGCATACATATCACACAATGTCATACAAATCACATTCACATGTGTCACACAAATCACATGTATTCATACAAATCACACACTATCGCCATACAAATCACACACGGGGTATCACGGTCACACAAATCACACACGGGGTATCACAGCATGTTAACGTCATACAAATCACACACGGGGGTATCACGTCATACAAATCACACACGGGGGTATCACGTCATACAAATCACACACGAGGGTACCACGTCACACAAATCACACACGGGGTATCACGTCACACAAATCACACACGGGTGTATCACGACATATAAATCTTACACGGGGTATCACGTCACACAAATCACACATGGGGATATCACGTCATACAAATCACATACTATCGCCATACAAATCACACACGGGATATCACGTCACACAAATCACACACGGGGTATCACAGCATGTTAACGTCATACAAATCACACACGAGGGTATCACGTCATTCAGATCACACTCGGGGTATCACGGCATGTTAACGTCACACAAATCACATACGGGGTATCACGTCATACAAATCACACACTATCGCCATACAAATCACACACGGGGTATCACGGTCACACAAATCACACACGGGGTATCACGTCATACAAATCACACATTGGGGTATCACGTCATACAAATCACACACGGGGGTATCACGTCACACAAATCACACCCGGGGGTATCACGGCATGTGAACGGCATACAAATCACACACGGGGGTATCACGTCACACAAATCACACACGGGGGTATCACGTCACACAAATCACACACTGGGGTATCACGTCACACAAATCACACAAGGGGTATCACGTCACACAAATCACACACGGGGTATCACAGCATGTTAACGTCATACAAATCACATACGGGGGTATCACGTCACACAAATCACACACGGGGGTATCACGTCATACAAATCGCACACGGGGGTATCACGTCATACAAATCACACACGGGGGTATTACGTCACACAAATCACACACGGGGTATCACGTCACACAAATCACACACGGGGGTATCACGTCACACAAATCACACACTATCGCCATACAAATCACACACGGGGGTATCACGTCATACAAATCACACACGGGGGTATCACGTCATACAAATCACACACGGGGGTATTACGTCACACAAATCACATACAGGGTATCACGTCACACAAATCACACACGGGGTATCACGTCACACAAATCACACACTATCGCCATACAAATCACACACGGGGGTATCACGTCATACAAATCACACACGGGGGTATCACGTCACACAAATCACACACAGGGGTATCACGTCATACAAATCACACATGGGGGTATCACGTCATACAAATCACACACGGGGGTATCACATCACGTCACACAAATCACACACGGGGATATCACGTCACACAAATCACATACGGGGTATCACGTCACTCAAATCACACACAGGGTATCACGGAATGTGAACGTGATACAAATTCATCTTATATATATATCTATGATATGTAATAACCATTCTGTTAAAACGATATTACGCTGGCTCATTATCAGTACTGTAACATAACAATTAGTTCTTTCCGATACAATTTCACTATAGAGGTGTAAAATAATTGATTTTTGAGATCACAATTAGAACAGATTTATTACACAGTACGAATGAAAAGCTCGTGTCATAAAACAACAGCAAACATTTCTGATAAACTTAGCTTTATATCAAACTTCAGGTAAGACCTTGCAAAAAATCTGAAATGATGGCTGGACTGTGGTCACCGAGACACAACATGCTGAGATAACGATTTTCATACGTCAATTTCCATTTCAAAGTTAATTATGTATGAAATATTAAATGAAATGTCCATGAATTTGAAACTAACGATTTATTTCTAAAAGTTTGTCTGGTATTTGTAAACATTATGAGCATGAATTCCGCCATCCTTTACAAGACATAGAAATGTTATGGTAGAGTGTTGGACAATTGTGAGTTAGTGGGAATGGATAGAAGCACCCTAGATAAAGGCTTACAATATGATTAGCAGGTTTTTATTTATTTAATTTCTCTTGTTAATAACCTATATCCACCTCACGAGAAGTCAGTTACTGTAAGATGGTTGTTACAGGTCTTGTGACAAGTAAGGTGTCGAGTTAAAATCGATAACAAGGACACTCGTTATGTGTAGGAATGTCCTATATTATCTACCTTCATGTAAGACGCATATTAAGTAGTCTTATACACGATCAATAGTTAAACGTTTGTAACGGAACTGTCTCGGTCTGTAGCAACATTGATTACACACAAGCATTGGTTCAAACAACTGGGAGGTCGATAGACAATCAATGTGTCAACCAAATATATTTTAATTATGCAAATATGTTCTTGTGATATCGAGTGTAAAGAGAAACTGGAATTAGCACTAACTCCGAGCTCAATTGTTATTGGATGACACGGAAAGAATGAAGGAAACGCGTCTTAATTCCTTTGGAAAGGTTCACCATCAGATATATACAAGAAGTACATCAGAAAATGTAAAAAATGTTTATGATTTATATCTGTTACAGTATAAGTACTTAAATCAAACGCAAATAGTAAAACTTAACACGAAAAAACATATCAATAAGATACGGATAAAAATAAAGGTAAGGTTGGTATAGAATGTACCGACGTTTGGTTAATGTGTCAGGATAACTATCCCTAGTCATCGCACGACAATCTAGACAGAATCACGTGACCACTAAATGTCTAAACATTTCCAGCTATATTCCTTACACTTATTACACCAGCAAAGCTACCTCGGGGAACTTTATAATTTCAATCAGAAATTTAACCTTTGATGCACAACGTAAAAATAAGACATAAATCAAATTTCTGACTTTTCAGCATGTTCTGGTTTAGCTTCTTATTGTTGTTTGGTGCTCGTTAGTATGCATGCTTGTATCGCTGTTGTATATATC